CCACTCGCTCAAGCTGGTCCCTGCTGCAGGACAGCACGCGCCTGAGGACAGGCGCATCCGCAGGGGTCACGGCTCTGGGCCCTGGCCCTTGGGAGCGTCCCACCAATTCTCCTTTCTATCTTGAGCCTCCCCATCGCCCTGGAAAGGTCTGTATTGTTCTGCATTTCCGTCACACAAAGGGACTGGGCTGGCTGTAGGAAAGCAGATGCGCACTGTGGGGTGACTGCCCACCTGTCAGCTGTTTGATCCGCTCCAAGGGATTAGAGACACGTGGAGCCTTTGGGAGCGTTTCAGCCATCCCAGTGCAGGGACACTCAGCCTCTGGCCCGTGGGCGAAATGCGGCTTGCAGAGCAATGGCATCCAGCCCATGGGGCTCCCCATCAGTCAGGAAATGTGGCAGCAAGGGAGCAGTGGCAATTAATAGGGCCACCCACCCCCTGCTGCCAAATACCCAAGCCCCTCACGGCCAGATCCAGGTTGGGCCAGCCCCTCTTCCCCCTGCAGGGCCAGCTTAGGGCCAGGCCATGGCCCCTTCCCCCCTCTGGTCTGGGCCATGCCCCCTTTCCCCCTGCAGCTGGATCATGGCCAGGTTGCCCCTGCCCCCCCCCAGGCAGGTGGATTGGGCCCCACTCTGCCTACCCCCTGCACCAGACTGGGGCCACAGCAGGATCCAGCCAGTGGAGGGGCAGGCAGTGCCCATCCAGACCACGGGGCAAAAAGGCTGAGCACGATACGCTGTTTTGGTGTATCGTGATCGCGGGGCCGCTGCACTGCGCTGCGCTGCGCTGCCTGAGGTGCTGGCTGCTGCTGGGGAGGAGAAACCCGAGGCCTGTCGGCCATGTGACGCTGCTCCCCGCCGAGTGAGTAAACCCGTTTCTTCCCATGCCAACCCGAGGGGGCCACCCCGCACTGTTACGGATCCACCTGCCCCAGGTGAGGAGCCCGGGTCGCAATGAATTTAAGGACAGCTTTACGGAGCACACCCAGCCGTGGCGATGTATTGCACACACAGCCTACAAGTTTGGCACGCTTACTGAGAGGCCTGGCGAGGGCACACTGGTTAGGTCTGCTCTGGTCAGACGCCTCGGCTTCGCCCTGGCACTGGCCCTGTTACATAAGCCGTGCTGGCCCCGTTATCTAAGCCCATGTGCACGCCCCCAGCTTTTGTCAGGCGCCCGGTGGTTTTCTGCCTAGCAACGTTCACTTCAGCAGCAGAGAAATGCTCCTGGCCAGCAGCACCTGAGCAGGCCTGCCCAGCCCGTACTAGCGGTCCCTCCGCTGCCTGCACCCTGGGGGCAGGGGTCCGCCCTACTCGGTGCTGCCCAGCCTGAGGACAGTGGGCTCTGGGGAGAGGCAGCCCATGGGTTATAGGGATATAGGACAAAGCCGCGGGGAGGCCTCGTGAAGAAGCTCTGGAGGGCAGAAGGATGCTGTGGGTCGGGCTCTCCTCATGCCCGTATGGTCCACGGCCAGATCAGCGGGCGTCAGCTGCTGGTTTTGTCTAGCCTCACATCAGATCTCATCGACCCTCGTGACATCTTAGGGGTCTGCAGTGACACCCGTCACAACGGCATCTGTCAGCTGACTGCCCGAGAAGCACAGGGAAGGTGGAGACCCTTTCCGTCTTGGAGAAGGCACGCCGATCATCTCCATGCATGGTTTCAGTTTTAGTCACTTCTAAGGAGCCTGCGTGAAATGTTTTTGCCCGTACTCAGTGAAGAGACCATTACTTCAGGGACATTAGCCACAAGCCCAGCTTGGACTTTGTTTTCTTTAGTTTGTTTTAATGTTTATTCGTGGAGATCATGTGTGGCATAATGACAAATGATAAAGCGAGGCAATGGGATAAGGCAGTAGAACAGGAATTTAGAAGAGCTGACTTCTGTTCCTAGGTCTGCCATTGACTTTGGCCAAGTCACTTTAGCACCCTGTGCCTCAGTTTCACCATCTGTAAAATGGGGGCCATGCCACCGCCCTCCGTTACAGAGTATTTTCAATAAAAAAAAACACCACAGGCAGTGCTCATAGTAACCATACACTGAAAAAAGATCTAGCTTTTTATTTTTCAACTGAAAAAAAATGTATTTGTCCCCTATCAGTTGAAAATGAGTTGAGCAGATTTCCTATTCATTTTCTACCCAAGTTATGACAGGCCTGAAATGAAATAGGAAAAGTTCTGGTTTGGGTTATATAAATGTTGTAAACACACCTTGTGCACTAAGTAGACTATTTTAGGGAAAAAACTAACGATGTCATTTACACGGGGCTCTGTCCCAGCGGGGAATTTTTCAGGAAGTTCTGACCAAGTGAAAGCAGGAAGTTGTAATTGAACTAAATCTGTATCTTTAACCTTATAATTAGTATTGGGATTATATGCTTTAGGGAAACTTCAGCCTCAATTTAAAATCGGTGGGGATGGGGAAGGGTGATAGATACTGGAGTGAAAGAGGAAGGTTTCTGACACTTCGGGATGATCACTGGGATGTTGCATCATGACAAGTTTGACAGCAAGAAAAAACAAGAGCTGGCAGGAGGTATGGATGGGTTTCAACCTCATTTCCCCATTAAATCCAAGCCAAAAATATATGTGTTGTTAGGGGAAAAGGTTGATAAACTGACAGATTGCATGTAGCTTGGCAGTCCTCTCTCTCCAGAGACTAAAATGTATGTTATTCCACCAAAAGTTGGCTATGCCTAACACTGTATTCATATCCACCTGGGAAAGATGGTAGCGGCTCAGTTACGCCGCACGTTTTGGGGCCACAGCAAGCTTCCTGTATAGCTCGACTCTCAATCCCCCTGGTCACAGTCCAACTAAGGGGCCAGAACCTGGCCCTGGAGATTTGTCTGGCTGGCAGCATGCGGCCTTCAGTATGTCTAATGTATGCTTATGGCCATCCCTGAGGGCTGCTCACAATACGCAGGTGTGACGATCAGTTCAATTGGCCCGATGGCAGAATTTGGGGAAGCAATAAACCAAGCCGGACATCTCCGCGGTGATTGTGATGCTGTGTTCCCACAGCGCGATGGACTTGTAGATGCAAAGCTGTCAGTGCATCTTAAGGTAAGCGCACCGAGGAGTGGGCTCCCAGCACCAAGTCTGGATTCATTCAGTGAGTTACACTGGTCTAAACCTGGAGTAAGGCAGGAGTAGAGGATCACACCTTAATTGGTGCTGAAGTGCAGCGGCTCCCTGGGGATTTGTCCTGCACTACACGGGGGTAGTTGGGAGCCCTGGCTTGTAATCCCGGCTCTGCCGTTTGTTCCTCTCGGGATTTGGAGCTGGACACTAAGGCTGGTATTTTCAAACCTGAGTGCTTAAAACTAACTCCGCACCCATGCCCCTAGATGGGAAAGGCCTGAAGCGCTAGCAGGTCCCAAATGCTGTCTGTGTTCAGCAGCTGAAAACACCTTTTGAACTCGGGGCCTGTGCATGAATTTGAGAGCGTCTGGTAGCCGATGCTGAAACCGGAGGAGCTGACTCCATCTGCTGAGTGAGCTATCGATTCGTGCCTTCCACACAGGGCTGGTCGGAGGATTTATTAGTTAATGGTGGCAAAGTGCGAGGTGTGATTAAAGCACGGCGCGGGGGTCTGAAATACGAACGAGGCCGTGACGTTCGATAAACAGGAACCAGCGGATGAATGCAGGTGCTGGGTTGTTTTCCCTTTTTGATTTGTTTCCCTAGCCTGAGTTTCCTGCTAAGACAGCTACCACGACCTTTGCCAGGAGATGCGAAGGAAAAAGGAGCTGCCATTTTAATCCAGAAAACCAGGCCTGATTTTCTGCAGGAAGAAGAGACGCCTGTGATAGGGGTGACCCTTGCAAATCCCTGCCCGGATAGACATTTCCAATAAGTGCTGAAGAAAAGCCTGCCAGCTCCAGCTTTCTCAGCCTGCTCTCCATTTTCCTTCCATCATCTCCAGGCCGAATTTAATCTGAGAAGGTTCCTTTGAGCTTTTGTGTTTGCTGGGGGAGATGTGGGCGCAAAAGGGATCACATTACAACTTTCATTTCCTGAAATGTTTGAGGGAACATCCAGGGTTTTATCCACACATCAGGCAAAGTTGGGAGCTCGGATTTCAGGTCTTGTCACTCAGCTGTCACCAAACAAATGAGCCTCTCAGAGCTGGAGACTGAGAGCGCTACCTGCTATTCATGACCCCGAGAGCAGGTGATCACTCATGGGAAAAGCAGGTAGAATTAATCATTTTGCTGTTCTCCATTTCCTCTCCTTTTTGGCTGACCTGCACACAGTGTGAAATCTTTC